ATGTATGGGGGTATTGCGTCACTTGGGGGACTGCCGTCCCCCGTGATGCACTCAAAGAGAGAAGACTCATCTTTTGAATTTTCTGTTGAAGAACTAAAATGGAACTTGCATATATTAGACTGGGTACAAAAACTTTAACTTTTTGTTATTATTAAAAAAGGTGTTTGACATTTTGTTGAATTTGAATATTGCACATAATATGTGTTTGCATTTGATTCACTGAGGCCGGCTTCGAGTTTATCTCCAACATGAATTAAGCCGGCACCGGTCGGTGTTCCAGTCAAAAAAAGATCGCATGGCTCCAAAGTCATATACTTTGATACATATGAGATTACTTCCAACGCATTATGAACCAAATTTTTCGTATTGCCCATTTGACGCCGCACATCATTCACATTCAAATATAAATCAAGATTGTGCAAGTCATTTACTTCGTCCAGTGCTATAAATCTAGATACTGGAGTTGTTGTATCACACCCTTTCGATATGCTCCACGGAAATCAATTCTTTTGAACTTCTTTCTGGAAATAACATCAAACATAATATTAAAGCACTTTTTTGAATAACTGATTTTCCAAAAAATATTCCTTATTTAATGATCTAGACCCAGCAAACAAAATACTAGTGAATTTCATTTTGAATTAAATTTTTGGACTGCAATTAAACGGTGCAAAAGAAACTGAAAATTTGATCAAAACTATCAAATGGTTCTAACATGCACATTTCAAATTATTCGTGTCATGCACATTATACATTAATCCAAAGTAGTTTGCAAATAGATTTTTATTCACTAATGTTTGGAAATGTTTGGAAAGTACCATTTAGATTAAAATATGAAATATTTATTTAAAAAAACACGTTCAATGGGAAGATTACAGTAAAGCAGTTGTCCAAATCAATTAAAAATATAAATTTGAGCAGCGATAACAATAAACTACATACTCGGTACATGTTTGAATATCAACAAATGCGTGCATTTATTAAAACAAGTCGTTCAGTTGTATGAGATGGCAAACGATGATTCAAATTGGTTGTTCGTGGTTATTATATTTGTTTAAATGTTGATGATATAACTTCTTTGTGACGCCTTCGTTCATACAACATGTTAATATTGCCTAATGCAAAAATGTTTTTCCATAAATTTTCGAGAGTTTTTTATGTTTTGACGATCTGGAAATGCATTTTGAATATGTATTTTTTCCGAACCAGTCTATGCACTTTGCACATTCAAAAGAAACTTCATAAAGAACTTATGAAACTTTTTTCATCTTTTTTTATCGCAAAGTTCATACTTCGTTCATTCATTTTGATATATTTACTTCAATATTTATCAAAAGTTTTTTTTATATATAAAAATTGTCATTTCAAAGCACAAAATGCGACATAAAGCTGTTCAAATAGGCCCTCTATTTGTGCTTATGTACTTTCAGCTTTGAAAAAATGCAGTTGAAGGGTTATTAAGACATTAAAGAGATGCTTAACCAAAAAAACTGTTTTCAATATTTCAATTTACATCTCAATTGATCTCGAAGTGCCTCTTCAACCCTCACTTAACTCGCTTCTTTTTCTCACCATCAAAAGGCATGCTTTTCATTGTGCAGTCCGTATTTGCACGTATTAAAAAAGCGAGCTCATACATCATAATTCAGTCAATTTTCCCATGAATTGGAAATCCATCTTATGTTATTAGATTTTACCATTAAAACGAATCGATGGATTCACTGGAATAAATGGCATGTAGACTACGTTAAATGAAGTCTATGGATAAAAATAGCAACGTTGAAACAATGGAATCTGGACATTGAATGACTGACAGAATGGAATATACGCAGAACCCAGCGAACGAAAGAGGCGAACAGAGAAAGTGTGTAAGAATGAAGTTCAGTCGCAGAGCGTCCAATTTCTCAGCAAACAGATTAATAGCATTATGTCTGGATTTTCTCGCGCATCAGTTGCATGTTAATGTGCAAACAAAAAAAGCGTGTCCACATTGCGTTCATGAGTGAGAGGCCACGGGAAAAAACCATGTAGACTAAACGAAATGATGAAGAAGTATAGAGACCAAGAAGAAAAAAATATATATATTGAAAATGAGAAGATGATACAGTCGGAGTCTGATTGGCATGAATTGCACATCTTTTACCGAGCGAACAAATTGAGTTCTGTTTTTTTAACTGAGCGTTCATCATTTCTCGACTTTTTCTCTCTGCTGTCGAATTTCGCAAACAAAAAAAATCGCAGCAAAAAAAAAGTTTGGTATGCGCGCACGCTAAACTTTGGTGTTGTTTGTTTTCACGAAACATACGCATGATTTGTCATACAAAGTACCGTAATGAGAAAAATCCACCAACAAAAAACAACAACATCATCGCGACGAAAGAATTTTTTTCCTTGCCTTTATTCGGCTGCTTCGTCATTTTACGTTGTTTCTCATTTTCGCTTGCAGCGAGTTAAGCAGCGACAAGAAGATGATAAACGCAAGATTTGCATGGTGACGTCTGGCTGTCGCGTACGCATGAAATCGAGAAAGAACAGCACCACACGCATTGTGTATGATTTTGCACATTTTGACATTTCAATTGCCAGTGATATGTGTGTAATCGGATACTCGAGGCGCGAAGCATGTAAATGCCAAAACTAGCACATTACAAAAGAAATTGCCATTCTGTTTATTGAATTCACATTGATGCGATTATTATTTACTGAATGAATTCCCCACCCTCGATGATGGAACCACTTTTCAAGAGCAAAAATGATTTACTTCTATTTGCAAATTCGAATCCCGTTTATTTGTTTCATTCAAATTTTATACGATGAACTTTCTCATTTCATCCCGAAGCAGGATTCAAAGTTTTGCCGTCGACATGGTTTTTTCCGTCTTCCATTCATTTGGAGTATTTTGTTTTTCGGATGTGCGTTTTTTTGTTCTTTCTTATATTTGACTTCACTGAAAATAAATGAAACGCACGTATTTTTTTTTCGTTTGCTTTTTTGACTGTGTTTGTGTTTACAAGTTGCGCGTCGCCAGCCATCACCCTCGCATAAAACACAACTTCAAATACACAGAAACTTTTTTTGTTCGCCTTCTCGTCCTCCTTTTTCGCATTGTAAAAAAGTGTGTATCTGTACTTTTTCTGCCGCTCTCTACTCGCTTACATAATTGATGATTTTGTTTTTAAGCATTCGACTTGCTCCAGATGCTTTTACGCAAAAGTTACACACCCAAACACACATACAACTGGAATTATTTTCAGAGTAGCATATTCAACGGAGTTTTAAATAAACGAAACACGAAATACATCGCAAATAATCAAGCTTGCTTGAGGAACAAAAAAAATATGAGTTTTTGTCGGAATTGTTTTTTTTCTTCTTCATATTTTCTATTATCATATTTTTTGTTGGAGAAAACAGGAGAAAAACTAATGATTTATTCAATATTTTTTCGCACATTGTGTTAACTATTGTAATCACTCCAGAAATACTGTAATTTTTCTTCGGGGCCTCGAAAGGCCATGAAATCAAAATATTAATGGGTGTTTCATGAAAGATCCACTTATGCTTATAAACGACTAAGGCTTAATTTCCTCCTATTATTGGCGTAGATTTTCAATAAAGTTGCGTGTCCGCTCTTAACGATGTCGTAATTTGCATCGGTACTTTTGGTATTGCGATAGGTTTTCAAAAACTCGGAAAATTGTTTATTAATTGCATCATCACTGTAGTCTCTGTAATTATGAAAATTAAAAAAAAAAAAACGTTGATTCAATTCTTTTTCTCAAAGAAAAGGTGGAAAAAAGTGTCCTCACTTGGGTGCCGCGAGAAGAATATAATGGTACATATTTATGAATTCATTCGACACAATGTTGAATTGTGCATCTTTAAGTGCTTGGGTTTCGCCACTCATCAAATTTTGAATCGCATCTAGTTTATCTTTGACGTAGGTTGATAGATTGTCATTTTGTGGCCTGGCAGTGATATATATTTTTGGAGAATGAATTCATGACATTTTTTTCATGTTCAAAAGATCACAGAGACTGTTTCTCAGAGCAAGAAAAGAAAGGCTTTGAGGAGATGGAAGAGTGGAGTTCATCAGTGCTCCCGCATATTTTCAGGCGCTCCTCTTCATAAATATCGCTCTGAAAACCAGGCTCTGGAAGATCAGAGTTGCTATAGACACCGAGGAAGTGAGGGCACTCTTCTTGAAAGTGTGGCTCTTTCTCAAAGTCATGTACGATGCTTGAAAAATGACATTCGAGCACAAGTGACTGCCGACACTCTTTCGGTGCCAAAAACCGCTCTGCAAAAGATTTTAATTTACCCTCTGTGTTTAATGTGTTTGTACACCAAACTCTCATATGCATTTAAAATGAACCCATTCTTCCAAATGATGTTGGCGCCGTTGAATTGTTTCAATTCATTAAAAAGGTAAATGAATAAAATCTCGTACTTCCTTTTCCGGTAAGAAATTAAAGATTACTGAAAATACAATTAATCAACGCTCATATACTCCACACACCTTGAATTATGATTATTCAAATCACCCAGTATTAGAAGACTCTCAAAGTAAAGATCACGTACTTTTTCAATATACGTAAATTGCTTCTGTGCCACTGCATTATACAAATACGAACACCAACTGAGTAAAGACGTATAATTATCTTGTATGTTTTTTCTGAAAATAATTATAAAACTGATGTAAAACTTCTGGCAAAATGAAAAACACTTAACATACAAATTTTTTTGGTTGATTAGATCATTGTAAGTCTCCCGAAATGTGGTTTTCTTAAGCGATATTTTTTCCCTCCATTCGTCGTTCAAATACATCATTGTGGTGTAGTGACCCTTCCATGTCTCTGCGTTAAGGTTTTTAAATTGTTCATGTATTCTAGCAAATAAACCCCAAAAATAAAATTTTCTCACGGTTTTCTTAATAATCGAAGTCATTTTTAAGTTTTCTCTTACATTTCACGACTCCCATTAAAGTTTTTTAAAAAATCTGCGAAAAATTGAGCATACGTCGATGCCGTTTGTTTGAAGCTTTCATTTGGATCTTTATTTGGACTCTTTACATCCAGCAATTTTTGCTCATGCTTTTTAGTTAGATCATCCACTATCGCTTTGAATGTACTGGCGACAGTATCGCTGGTTAAAACAAATAATTATTCCTTTTAGTTTGACTCACACATTTCTGCACACATTGAACACTTTTTATTTAATTTCAATATTTTCAATTATTTTTCAAAAACTTACCGTCCTACAACTTCTTCGCAAATAAACACAACAACAAGAAAACAAACAAGTTTCATTTTTTATCACTACTGTGATCAAAATTCATCACAGAATCGTTTATATACCATATGTATCGATAAATATTTCATTTTCACACAATACTGAATTGCGTCGTACGATGTAAACATATTCATCGAATTATGTGAATAAAAATTAATAATTCATCAAAAAACGAATTTCGCATTTGAATACCGATCAAAACGTGTTTTAATACTGAAACAATTCGTAAGCGAATCAATTTACACATGATAACAAACAGGAAAAATATCGATAAATGTGATTAAAGTAATGTCAATTGGAGAATAATATTGAAACAATTTATAATGTGGCAGTCTGGTGTATTCAAATGATACAGGCGACTTCTTTAAATTCTAACAATTTTATGTTAAATATGAAGCACTGAGTTGCTGCAAAACACGTATCACTGGCGCCCTCACTGTATTGCATAGTGAAGTAACTCAATAGTACGTGTGTGAAATGTGAAGATTTTTTCTCGCACGAACTAGATGGCGCTAATAACCAGCCGGTGTATATTTGTATGAGATTGGAGACTTTTTTTTGCGAATCTCGCTAATGAGCGCCATCTGATTTTAGTGTGAATTAGATGCAAAAACTGAATTTAATTCTGTAGCATTGAAATGAAAAAGTGAAAAAACAACAACAATAGCACGGCCACACAGAGCTGTACATCTATGCGTGCTGATGCATACATACACATATACGCTTTCTTCATTCTTTCATTCCATTGCTATACGTATCTCACTGGTCAACAGATCTATGTAGCCATGTTACTGTTGTTGTTTTTTTTCTCTTTTTCGATTCAATTCATTGTAACTAAATTGAGTTCAACTATGGAATACAAGATGGCACAGATGAGGGGAATTCGCATTTTGTCTCTTCATAGGCTTAGCCGGTTGCTAATAACTAAGTGTCTTTGCAGCAATGGTGTGATATGAAGATTTTTTGAGTTGATGCTTTTACATTGCGTATGATTTGCTTTTTTAGTCATTCCTCAAATAAGACTTCATACAAAAAAATAATTTATAGTTCGAATAGCTGGAGTGGAACACTTCATTTGAATTCAAATCATATATGGAGATAAAAGAGGCACAAGAGAATATGGGCTCAGATAATCCTTCCTCAAATAGCTCGAGAATAACCCACCCTTAAATAGTCTCCTAGGCGACAGTCGAGAGTTTTCTCGATTTTCTACGTTTTGCTGGGATTGACCCCTTAACTTGTCAACCGTGCTTATGTATGATTGAAATGATAGAAATTCAAATTATAAGAGGCGAACTGTATTGAATGCAAAAAAAGAAATTTCGTCTCCAATTTAGCAAAAAAAACTTCGTGAATCGTTTGGAATGGTTTGAAACTGTCATCTTTAATAGTTTTTAGATTCTTTTTCTATGAACAACGTTAGATAGTCCGGTAATGATGAACTTTAAGAAGAGTACCTTCCACTTCAAGACTCTTACACTCGAAAAGTAATATATGTTTTTATGGTTTTCGTCCGAAATTCATTAAAATTAGAAAATAAATTGTCGGAAAAATCAATAAATGAAGAATGAACATGCAAAAAACTCTATTCCATCCAAATTCGTCAGTCAGTCTGAAAAATTTTACCATAAAAACTCGGGTATGTTTTTCAAAAGAAAAACATACATGGTTCTCGACCAATCTCTCCAATATTGATTTTCATTCATTTTCTCCCTCAAAAAAGGCATCTGTTTAAAAATGGTAAATGAGTCGAAGCTTGTGTTCATATAGTAATTTGTTGGGGTTGAAGAGTCGATCTCATAATTACTCGTTTTGTCTGGAGTAAAAAAAAACACGTGTGGTGTGTGCGGAAAAGATGGAAGAAAGTAAAAAAATTCACTGGTTTACATTTGAAAAAAAAAAAAAAAAAAAAAACAGAAACAATTGAAGCATCGCAATTGAACGGCGGTTCAAACGTGCGGTATTCATCCCCGTTGGTTTGTCTCGACGCATCCGCTTGTTCTCTTCATCTTTTTTATGTGAGTACAAGCATTCATTCTCGTTTTTTTTTTCAATTTCAATTCCACCGAAAGCGATCCAATTTGTTTTGTGTCAAAGTATTTTTTTCTTATTCTCTCATCTTCCCCTTGAGCTGAATAAGTGCTGCTTATTCACACCTTTTCTATGACATAGAGACATTCAAATGGTGGAAGAAAGAGTGAGTGCAGATATTTCATCGTTTTTTATGACGTTCATTATCAATTAGAAAATGCTGATGAATGTGTAACAATGTGATCAAAGTGCCGACACACACTCACAGATATACAACCTTTGTTCATTCTTCCACATTGTAATTATGTAATCAAAGCGCTTTTTCTCGATCTAACACTCTTTTAAAATGCCAACGACGGTATATGTGATTGCGATGGCGGCAGTATTTCATCTTTGATTTCAATATGGTACAATTGTTTCGCCCTTTTTTTCTATTTCAAAATGAAACACAACAATGTGATCAATTTCTAATAAACAGCGGTTTTAATTTCCGTTTGAAAGCATTGAATTGCCTTTGTCATTTGAATGGGGGAAATTCTTCAATTCACACCGATGTTCAAGCATGCGGAACTCACTTTTGATTCCATGGAAATGCATTAGATAAAGCTTTTTCTTCGAATTGCGGGTGGAATCACCGGAAGCCAATATGATTATATTGACTACGTGATATATTCGACAGAGATGGATCAAAGACGATACAATTTTCGACGGAGATCAATTGAAAAGAAAATGAGAACTTTTTTGCATTTTTACATTTCCGCATAAGGAGGAAGTATTTTCCATTAAAAAAATCGTCAGAAAAAAAAACAAAACATACACAAACAGCGAGAGAGAGAGAGAGAGAGAGAGAGAGAGAGAGAGAGAGAGAAAGGATACTCTCAGACCCCTTGATCAAAAAGCGTTACCATGCAAATAGATACAGTCCTATCTCTAGCCCCGTAACCATAAAATAAAACCATACACTCGCGGTTTGCATTCGGTCATGTCACTTTGTGGAATGTCGAAGTAAAAAATTGCGTTGCTTTGAATATGCGTTGCTATGAATCGCAATGCACCGACTAAATTGAACTGTGCATGGCTACTCAATGAAATGGGCGAATTAAAGAGGTTTCTGCAATAAATAACACTGAAACATGCAATAGATCCAAAGTATTACAAAAAGCTCGACTCTACTTTTTATCAAAATTACTGCGAAAATAGAATAGATTTGATACTGGAATAAAAAGTAGCCCGGAGTTACATTGTCAAAAGGTCGCATACATTTTTAACTAGATGGTTCGTTCCATTTTTCGACTTTCTTTGTGCATTTTCACATTTGATTAAAACTCGATACCACTCACATTGAAGTGGTCTTTCTAAAGGTAAAAATGGTTTTTCCCCATACCCCAATGCATTATATGGCAGTAAAAAACTTTGCGTTCAATCAAAAGTTTCGAACTCGAGTGCAGCATCACTGTGTGTATGACATAAAAATCAGTACCATTATTGGATCCAAGTGCATCAAAGATTAATTGGTTCAACAAAACTGGTAAACCAGATAAATTCCATTAAATTAAATGAGCTTTTTTTTACTGCACTCGAATAATTTCCAATAATAAATGATGGAAATTGAGCACAGCCAAATATTCGTTGTAACAAAATGCATCCATCCAACAGAATGTTGCTTCCAATGAATATACTAACTTGCAATCAAAGCAAATATTCTTGAATAAACATTACTATGTTGCATAGAGGAGCATTTTCATTTCAATAAACATTCCAATGGATTATGGTCAAAATTTGCTTACAAATATTTTCTGCTATCTCATTTCCTTCATTCGATATTCAATGCTCGTTTTTCCATTCAACATTTTCTTGACGGTCATTCAAATGTTCTCTTCTTTCTTTCGCTACGAACCTCTGCAATTCCCTCTTGATGCTTTTCATCTGTTTTCATATCGTCTTCATCTACTTTCTTTGCCGTATTTTCTTTCTTCTCTTTGCATTTCCAATTTCACTGCTTCTTTTCTCTTTGTGACTCTGGCTGCACCCCTCGAATTTTCTTCCGACCTTTATTTTAGTTCATCTGTACCTGTCGTCGTCTTCCGCTCCAAATCACATTTCAAAAACATAATATCACAAATTTGTTTGCTTTATATTATTAAAGAATTTATATTATGCATCGTTATTGCTCTATTTATAACTTGGCGCTAATTCTATATTTGAATTACGCACATTTTTGGCCACGTCATTGTCTTTTATGTGATGTATTCTGGGGTATCTATTAAATCTTTGGCAGTTAAATTGTGAAACATTCCATTAGTGAAATTCTCTAGAGAGAGAAAGAGATCCAGAGAGCAAGACATTGACTATGAATGCGAGGGAGAGAGAAAGAGAAAGGACAAATGAAATAGACAGCGAAGGCGATTGAGAGAAAAAGAAGAGAAAGAGAGAAGAAGAGAAAGAAAGAGCGAGAGCGAGGAAGATGAAGCGAGCGAGAGTAGTAGAAAGAGGAAAAAAGAGCCTATATCGATTTGTTGAACTTTTGTGGCTTTTAATGGATAAAATGATGACGTTAATTGACAGTTCGACCAGACCTTTCCTGCCGCCAAGCAACTGTTGTCTACTTAAAACTTTTCAAATGTATTGTTTTGATGCTCCAAACTTCCGGTCACTATATCAAATTTTTTTCACCATTTAGTCCCTTATCGTCTCTCTACCTCTCCTTTTTTCCTCTAATGATGACTCTGACTTATTTTTTTTTTTTTTCAAAATTTTCATAAATGTTCTTTATTTTTCTTCCATTTCATACACTTCTTCACCAATTTTCCATCATAAAGTAACTTCCAAGTGATTTTTAGAGTCATATTTTCAAATATAATGTATTTCTTTCGAAAAACTTCGACTATTTGTTCTCTATAGACCGAAAAAAACGAAACAACAAAAAACATGTCATTTCCCAATGTTGAATTGTCACAACAAAAGAAAGTACAATACAACAAGTGTT